TTTTTCTATTTTCCCAGATGAGCTGACCAGATCTACTCTTCTATGTATATTTTATAACACTACTGAGCTCTCAGTCAGGTTCTTGTATGGTGACAAGAACCTGGCTTACCTGACTTACATCAGTGACGTAGACTTCAGTGATAGGTGGTCCTCTGAAAGGGCTAAAACGTTCTCCAATACTGCGGACCACTGTACTGAAAACCCTCAACAGAGCTGCAAGCTTCGGCAGTGACACTGAAGGAGGGGGTATATCTTCATCCAGCACCTCGCCCGACACACCATGGCTCAGATCCTTAAATGGAGCACAGAATAAGTCAAGTCTTGGACAAAACAGATATCATTTAAATATAACAGATTGTATCATTCTAAGAAGAGAATGCTGTTTCAACAAGATTTCATAAAGACATTTGAGGGCTTCCAGTCTTATTGACAAATAAAGAATTGTCTGTAATTACACTATATTTTGTTACACCCGTAAAATTGCTACAAAATACACGAGTATAACTGGTTTTAGAGCATGGTAGAGAAGCTCACTGTGGTCACCTCTGCATATGCTTCCATATCCTCCAAGAACTGTCCCAGTAGGGTGGTGGAGAAGGTCAGGTCTGCTACCCAGAACTGCTCCAGACTCTGTAACCAGCCTAAATACACACAGGGGAGCAATGTGACAAACACAAAAACATCGGAATGTCATTTTGATATAGCTTTTCTACAGCGGCTGTGTACTAAAAGCAGCATGTTGGCAGAACAGCAGCAGTAGTGTGTGCTCAAGCATTTTACTCATGTGTAGGCCACATGTGTTTTGGAAGCACCCACACACATCACTAGTTACAGTGGATAAATAGAGCACTCAGACCCCGTCATCGTGTGCACACATTGTGTGGGCAGATTGATTAAAAATCTTTACAATTTCCATTCAGTCCAACAATCTACACTTACAAATGCCCTAAGCAAAAAAATACTATGGTTTTCGAATGTTTTGAAAATTTATTAAGAATCTAAAAAAATACATTCAAACTGTGGTTAGGTGCAACTAGTTCATTGTAATTATCCTGAAGATATGTCTGGCGATTTTTCCACCTTTGGCAAACTGAACTGATTAGACATAGTCTCGAAAAGTACACAAATGAGTATATAAGGTCTATGCTGAGGACATCATACTACTGAAGCGGCTTATCATTCACGTGAAGTGACAACACTGATAATGCAGACCTTTGGGGCACTCTATCACAAGAGAGTTGAAAGCCAAGTGGCGGTCTGCTGAATTTTGAGGGCTGCTTTTTGATAGATCTAAGGACATCACAAAAACCAAGCAGTAGATTGTTTACATTGTGTCTGGGTCCAGCAATGGAGAGCTTACTTCAGACTTTTTGGGTCTGATTGAACTGGGTGCTGACTGAATTGTGGAGGCTATAACAGATGAACTTGTGAAGCTTTTCCAGGACGTAGTCTTGGATGACTGGATGACAAGTTGGTGGCTGTGTATGTACAATGAAACTGTACCAAAACTACTGCAACTGGCTGCACTGGAAGACTCCCAGGTGCACATTCTGTACACTGCCCATGCACTAGAGAACTGTGCAAAATCAGCTGATCACAGCATTCCTTACTGTTAGACATTTAATTGCTTTGTGGTCAAGCTGCTGCAGTTATGTTTACAAAGAGGTAAACCAAAAAAATGTAAAGGACATGGCACCTCTTTGTGAAACTGGGGAGGGTTCGTAATATTAGATGGTCTGCATGGAGGCACTAAAGACTTAAAAATATGTTTCTCAGCAGCAGACACAGGGAGACAATGCAGCTGAACATAGAAAAGTTCTCGGGGGGGAAAAAAACAGTTCCACAGTGCATGCAAACTGAGAATAAAGTGACAGTTCACCTTTCAGCACAACAATGAGATAAAAAAATATAGCCTAGCCAATGATGAGGTGGTTCTGGACAATTTTCTGTATTTGAGGGGCCCTGCCAAAGCTCAGATTTAAATCCCATGTAACATCTGTAGTGAGAGTGCAAAACTCCAGGTGTGCAAAGCTTGTAGTGACTTAAGTAAGAAGATTCAAAGCTGTAACTGCTGCTGAACGGTTTTGACAAAGTAGTGAAAACTGTTCAATGGTATTTTACGGCAGATTTTTAATCAATTTGCAAAATGTCCTGCAAACATGTTTTCAGTTTTCATTATGGCTTAAGTGTAGACTGATGGTGAAAAAATGCAATGTCATTCATTTGAAATTAATCTAATGGTTAACAAAGCAAAAAGTCAAGGTTGCCCCAATACTACTACTTGAGTGGTAAAAAGGACCTTTGGTCACAGCGATAAAGAGCAACCTGCAGCCTGTGTAGACAATTGTACTGATTGATACAGAAGTATGTCTGAGTATTGCAAAGGGAAACTTCCACCTTTGAAGGCATCTCATTTAATAATTTAATTAATTCAACTAATTAATTAAGTGACAAGGCAGCAGACTAAAAACAAACTACCCACTTTATTATCAGCAAAACAAGCCAAGAAGTTTGCAATCTGAGAGCATCAATGTGAAATCCAACTGACCTGAGACTTGCTGAGTGAGTGACTGTTTCTGTGTGTGGTCAATGTGCCAGCCCACCAGGATGTCCACTGTGTCCTGTGGAAAAACCACAATAATGACAATGTGCCGGCATTAACCAAGATGTAACCTCATTTGACCTGTGTGCCTCAAACATGAAACAATACCAATGACGACTGAAACACTCACCCTGAAGTTTGTGCTGAAGACATGTGGGTAGCAGCGAGCCACCTGAAGAATGCACCTCACGCTTTGGCATAGCAGCTCAGGTGTGTCCACATTCTCCAGTATGGACTGCAGGTTGGTCATCACCAGCTGAAATACAAGGAACACACAATCCAGCGCTTATATGGAACCAGCTAGTAGTTACACTTCTTTACTAGCATGCATTCTTTTTATGTCAATAACAGGTAGGAGTTACTAAAAGGATCACTAGGCTTGGAGAATGAAAAATTGCAGTGTTCTACTAGGTTAGAAGTGGCTCCTAAATGCAACTGGCTATCAAGAACCCACATCAGTGAGTACTTCTGTGTCAACTCCGACATAAAATTAGACTTTAATGTCAAAGCTCTGCTCCATCTTTGTTGTAGTTGTGAATCTGGACAAAGACTGTTTGTATTTAGCTAGTTAGCATATTTAAATGGACAGCATTGGCCAGATTAACTGCCCTAACTCTGACTACCCCATTTCTCCTAATCTCCTCTCCCTTTCCCTTGTCGCTGGTCCTGTGCACAAGCAGGTTGACTGAATTTGACTAAGAATGTGTTGGATTTGTGTTGCTGACTCTACCTTTTCGTGAGGCCTCTGTGTGTGGTTACCTGCATGATATGAGAGAAGGCCTTTCTCTCTCCAGCAGCCTCCAAAGCATGCTGCGCTGCCACCAGGTACAACAGTTTCACCTCATCTCGGCTGCATGAATTGAACTTGAGAAAAAGCCACTTGAAAATGTGTTCAGCTTCGTAGCTGAGCACTGTGCAGAGGAGACCCAGGCAGGCTGCTGCATCCTTACGCAATTCCCACAGCAGCTTACTGCTACAAAGATCAACAACAGAGAGGAGACCACATATAAGAGAACAAATGGCAGATGGAAATAGCAAATAGTAGTCAGCGTTACAATAGCTGCTTGTATATTAATATTGTGTTCTGTTAAAGTTGAATTTTAGCTTCAGCTCTGGGCTTAACCAGGTACAGAACACCTAGTCCTCCCAGCAGATTATAACCTGACTACAAAGTAGGATAACTGCAACAGCTATGTGCCTTTGGTTTCCGCCGCTGTCAGTGTGCGCATCCACAAAGGAGTATAATCTAGGCCTCACGTAGAAGTTGCTCACTAGTTTTTAAGAAATCTCTGTCACGTTTTCTGAGGAATCCCAGCCCATTTTTCTTTGGCAAGTCTCTCCAGGTCCTCCGATTTGATGGTCTTCTGGCATGGACCCTGGTCTTCAGTTCATCCCACAGACTTTCAGTGGAATTCAAGTCAGGGCTTTGTGCAGGCCAGTCAATAACGTTCACTTTGGCCTTCAGGAGGTAATTCTTCACCAGAGGTGATATGTTTTGGGTCGTTGTCATGTTGGAAGACAAAGCGACAACCCAGACCCAGTGTTGCAGCTGACTGCTTGAGTTTTTCTTTCAAAATCTCCATATATCCTTTTTCATGATTCTTTCAACCTTGACAAGATTCCCAGTTCCAGACGCACTAAAGCACCCTACAGCATATTACTGCCACCACCGTGTTTAACTGTGGGGATGGTGTTCTTTGGGTTATACGCCTCTCCCTTCTTTGTCCAAACATAAGCAACGTCTCTATGGCCAAAGAGCTCTAATTTGGTCTTTGTGCATGCCTATCCGTTAATATGATGGTTCAGTTCAGACATGTGCCATGATGGATAAGTATCCAGAGTGCTCATTCAGACATGCAGCCGGCCTGTTTAATTGTTGTCAAAATAACGGACTCATGTCTTCGTAAGGTCTTCACCCTACTATGGTAAGCGCTGTGAGATGACATATGTTCTGAACTGCGTTATATAAATAAAATTGAATAAAATTGAATGTCTGAAAATGGTATGGCAGTTACACTCCCAAGCCAGACAAAAGTGCACAGTGACAAAGAATCAGGCATTTTGCACCATGGCTCCAACTAAAGTAATTCCCAAAGCCAGAGATGTTGTGAATGATGGATCCCTATCAGCATGATTCAAAAATGAGCAGTATGAGTTGCTACATTTTCATGTTACCTTTTGTGCTTTGATGCAACCTAAACTCAGTTGACTTTCTGTCAGCTCTTGACATATTTGCTTCTCTACCTCTTTCTGTGCTCACATGTGCTGTATTTCAATGCTGCCTAAGTCCCAATGAAGCTGTTTTCAATTACATATCTTATTTGTTGTCAGAGAATAAAACCCTTGCGAAATAGTGACCAAAACACAGCCCAGTAAGACTATATGTTGACCAGAAGTCATTAACAAGCTACTGCTCTGCACTAATACCCTGTTTTTATAACTGCAACATCATCAACTGTTTGACAAAACCACTGTACACATAAGTTAAAGACAACTGCTGTACATGTGAAATTATCACTCAGAGTGAACCTTGGAAGTAAAAGGATGTCATTCTAATTTTTTTCTGTTACAGTAAAAAGCACCAATATGGCACTAAACTCAAAAACCTATTAGCTAATGTGGATGCATCCCTGACAAAAGCCAAAAAAACAAGCAGAAGGCTGAAAAATGAAGCCAATATGCCGATGTTTAAACACCCAACTTTACAGCAGAAATAAACTGGTGTATAGTCTGGTTAAAAAAAAAAAAAAAAAAAAAAAAGATTTTGCACCCTATAGCTCATTCAACCAGGTCAAGCAGTAAGAAACAAGAAAGTTGGAAGTTCAACTGCTCAAAAGTGGATTCGTGAGAAAGAAGCAGTGGGAACTACAAACAGAATGAAACGTCATCAAAAAAAAATTAAAAGACCAGACATTTTGTTTTCAAGTTGTTATTTGTACTTTTGAGATGACTTGTTTTTGCTTTTGTCAGTTTTATTCTTTTTCAAATTCTTATTGTTGTTTGATACTTCAGAACTTTTGTTTTATTATATTGGCACAAATCTAGTTCCATACAAGCCTCTGCAACTTCATTACTTCATTACATTATAGACAACTTAAAATACCACACACTGCTCACAAGTCATGAACAGAACAGTATTTCTTTTAAACAACATATTCATGAACAGATGTTTCAGGCAGACAATTCTTTAAAACGAAAAATCAAACATTTAAATATCAATACACAAAATTATCTTTTGTTTGTTTTGACTGTTGAGTCAAGCGTTGCCATTTGGAATACAGCATTTTCTATTTGTGTCATTGGGCTTTCTGTTGCAGGATTGGAGACGAAAGAGGACATGTGGCATGACTTAACATTTGCATGATAATATGCACTCATTTGCTTATCCAGTGATCACCAGAAAAGTGATCTAAGGACACTTGACTCAAAGACAGAAAGGAATACAGGTATTTACATTTCTTAGGAGTTATTTAAATAAGTGTGGAGATAATTTTGTCATTTCCACCTGGCCTGCTGACCTAACGGGACTCCCAGAATTGTTTTCTATCAGTCCCAAAAATGCTTCTTTAAGTATGCCCAGTATAACAAGGTCCAGTCCAGTGTCCAGTGTCCGATAAACCTGAATGTCTGTGTGAATGAGTGAATGACAGAGACATTGTAAAGCACTTTGGAGAATCTAACTATGGTTAAAAGACACCATGTAAGTGCAGACTATTTATCACACAGCCTCCTCTTACCTCTCATTCAATATGTCATTCAAGGTGCTAAGGATGGTGTCCAACTGTTTGACCAGGGTCTGTTTGAGAAAAAGATACAAATTATTAGAATAACAATTTTTTGTTCTCATCATTACATAAACTATTTAAACACATTTCATTTGACATCAAATATACACCATATCCCAATGAGGAAAACAGAATCTTTAAAGGTAGAGTCAGCTATTCTAATTCTCACTGTCTGCCAGCTGTCAATTATGTGTGCTGAAAAAAAATCTTAGATTTGTACACAGTACTGGCTCTGTAAATGGAGAAACAAACAAAGTAGTCCATACTGATTCATACTACACTATTCCAGCAAGCTCTGCACTCATTCTTGCTGGTACAGAGGACGGAAAAAAAGGATCTAAGAGGGGCGCTACGGAAGTGGGTGTGAGAAGTACAATAACTGTGACACAAGCTAACTGCGTTTGTCCATAATCAGAGATTGAAAGACTTCACCTTTAAAGGAAAACTGTGATATATTTGAGCCTAGCTCAATTTCCACTGTATTTGTGCTCTATGGTAAAGGTGTAACAGTACACAGGGTTCCATAGTTTTGGTACAGCAGTACAGTACAGCAGAGACAACTAGACAATTTCTGACGAGATTTGTAGTGTGTTAATGGGACACATAATAAATGGTCACATGAGGGGATTACTGATGCTGAACTGAGAAAGGAGGACTCTAATCGCCCACCAAATCACTGGGTGAAAGAACAAAATGGCCCATGTTTAAATGCAGAAATTCTGCATGTATAGAGGAATCTGTGATACGCAAAACAAGCTTGACACCATTTTTTATTTAAAAAAAAAAAAATTCATTCTGTCAAAATAAAGAGTGCATGACAGACAGAGATCACCGGGCCACAGAATACTATGAAAGGTAAATTGTAATTTCATTTAAAAAAAACTAATAAAAAAATCAAAACACTACAAATTACAAAATCCTTAAACACTGTACAACGAACTGTTAAAGCCAGTGTTGTAATTTCCAAGTGCATAAAAATGCAAGGGTGTTGTGTATTTCGTCATCTCCCCGGGTCCATGTGGGCGCCTTTGCATACAGCTCAAAATTAGTACCAACAGGGCCACTAAACTACAAGGGCAGCAGTGTGCATGCTCCTAAGAAGAATGTTATCGATGTTTTCCAAACATGCAATCTACAGAGCACATATGGAATACAGTCCTCAAAGCGAACTAACTCAATGGTGTCTGCAGCTGTCTATGTGTGCATCCACAAGGGAGTATAATTAGACAAAAAAAATAGCTTGTTTTAAAGTATCTTTGGCACTGGTTATTTTAAAGCTAGGGAATGAGCTGCACACTGAAAACTGAGACTGAAGAATCTTGTAAAACTAGAAAATGCATTTTCAAGCGAAACAAAATGTTTGTTATTGCTGAAAGCTAAAAAATGTCTCATAAAGCCCAAGATCATATATGATGATGTGTGCCAAAATCAAAAGACTACCACATAGTGGCCATATAAATAGGACTCAATAGGACTTAAAAAAAAAAGTTCTGAAATGAAACTGAAAAAGGCCTTTTGTTTAGTTCCACCAATTGCCACAGAGGCATTGCTCATAGCACTGAAATGCAATCCACACAAAGATCATATGATTCAAACAAAGTTTTTATAGCAACAATTTATCCATCAATTACCACACGGTGATGCTGCACCCAACATCAAAAATTGAGAACCTTTTGAATTTAAGAGCTGAAAAGTAACAAAGGATTCGGACTGAATAGCTCAAACAATCAGGAATGGCAGTACACAACCTTTAGGAAAGCTAAAAATGCACATCGCGAAAAATCCGAAAATGTGAAACATATCATGATTCCTGTAGCAGCCTCTCCACAGCTATGGGGAAAAAGCTGTGTTTTAGTCTGTTGGTACGGCTCTTATGAATCTGAGTCTGCCAGAGGGGAGCGTGGTAAATAAAGAGTGTCCTGGGTGGGCAAGGCCATTCCGGATCTTTGTGGCCAGTCAGAGGAGACAACTCAAGTAGATGGTGTGGGAGTGTATATAGTGCCCTCTCGTGGCAAACCTGGATGAAACTTATCCAATTAAATCTTATCCTTAAACTGTACCCTCAAGCCAAATTTGAATTCAGTTGGATGAAACATTCAGTAGTTACAGCAGTTTGAGCTGACCCACAGTTTCACCAAGTAATTAGAGTGACACTCCCCATAGTTAGACATCGAAATGATTGTTTAAAAGAGAACTGCATGAAACTCAACAAACTCAGAAAAAAAACACAGAAAAGAGTGCACAAATGTAACACACAGATTCCCAGCTGAGGGAATACATTATATCTGCAAACCTGTTGAGCTGTGTGTTACTAATACTGCTGAACAAAGCCGTGCAGTTACAGTAGTGCAAACTGTATGCGTTGCGAGTCAATGGGAACCTGTATCAGTTATGCTTGGTCCTGATTTGCTGCCAAGTCCATTTAACACAACTGCTATTGCAGCTAACAGAACACAGATTAGGGAATAGTAACATTATTTCACTTTGATTTGGCCAAAAAAACCAAAGAGATTTCCTATTATTATGGGACAGTGTCAGGCCGTAATGTGCAGCTGTCACATAAGAATTAAGCTGTTGCATTCAGAGTGCAGAGCAGTAAAATAAATATATTAAGTGAAACAATTACCAATTTTCTCCAGCATTTCTCTCTTGAATTATTTGCAGTAAGAGCACTTCATACTTAATATTTTTTTTAATATTCTTTATAGCTCTCCATGGCTGAAGTAGGTGGCACATGATCAGTCCATTCTGTGCAGAAGACGAGTCACATGACATTTTATGTAAGTCTGAAGAAGAAAGTCTTTGCTAACAAAGTTGACAGTCATCATCGTGATACCCACTATCTCTGATTGGAATTTTATGTTTTGTTGAGCTAACTCACACAAAGAAAACCTGGACATGTCAAACTGTCTTTCTTTTTGGTCAGCTTTACCAACACACCCTGTCTTTGATATTTGCTTTGTTTGACAAGTAAATGTCTATTTTCTTAGTGATTATTTCTGCCCCGTGAAAATCAGGGACTAGTCTTAAAAAGCACAACAATAGAGTCAACACAAATAAAAACATCTTCAGTCATTTGAACACACGTTTGGTTCATAAAAAAAAAACAACAGTGAAAAAAAAAGTGGAAAAACTCTGGTTACCACATAATTACTGCATACAGTTAATCATTTTTGGTAAAGAATACATAACCTAAAGCTCAACATTTACCAAATTGTGGCAATTCCACTGCCTAATTAAGAACACTTGTAAACGTTACTCAGGATAAAGCCACGTTTGCAGTGACTGTAGATGCTATTTTACTTTAGGTTAATTTCAACACAATTGATACAGAACACTAAAACTAAATCAACAAATATTTCAGATATCACGAGCATGTGTGTGGCATTTAAATGCAACACTGTCGAAGAATACTAAGAATATAAAGCCAAACAGAGCCAATACCAGAAACTACATAGGAATTTACTATTATAGTCAGACAAGTTTGTTAAAAAGTTTGAGCCAGTCTGTTGGTCACTGCGTGCATGACTGCAGAGACCGTGAAATATCCCAAATTTTGCGCCGAGATGAAGATGAGAGGCACAGTTTTAACATGACTATGTCTTATTTTCTGATTATGTCTTATTTTCATATTACAGAAGGTTTGCAATGACAAAACTGGAAGATGATCTTTACAGAATCTGACTAACCACTTTGCTTTCGCCATGGCTGATGAATTCCTTTAGTTGTTTGAGAGTGGCCAGCCTCCGGTCGCGGTCATCTTCCCTGGAAACTCGGCGCAGGAGGTTGGTCAGTCGAGACTCCTCTGAGTGAGCCATTCCTCTGTCTGCAACAACACAATGAAACTATCTCTCAGTACCACCACAGGCTGTCACTGTAGATTCAAAATGCATTTCACGAATGTTTAGTGTAAAATATATGACATTTTAGAAAATGCTGTTTATTTAGTTATGAGCTAAAAATCAACCAAGTAATTTGCATAACAATTTTTAGTCAGACAATGAATTATAAATTGGATTTTTATCATTTTGCACTGCGTGTTTGCCATCTGTGTTGGTCATCTGGATATGGGTGGGATTGTGTACATATTATACAGTCATGACTCAAAAATCTGACACTAAATGTAAAACCTTCTTTTATGTCGGATAGCAAGGCTGTTGGATTGTCAAGACGGAGGTCGAGATACAAGGAGGGCTTGATGCTTGAAGGGTAATTTGTTTTTAATATTCATTGTTTATAGTTGTTATATTACTAGTAGGGCTGGTCCGAATAGCTGGGCTCAATTAATGATGAATATCAGAATATTCGGTGTGGTGGTGGTGGTGGTGGTGGTGGGGGTGCGCGCGCGCTGTGACGAGGTGAAAGTGGTCGGAACGCACAGGCAATATTGCTGATGCCAGTTTAGTTAGTGGTCACACTTCTGTTTCTACCATAGGTGACAGCGGCGGCGCCACTTCCCTGCCACCACCACCATCCACGTTTACTTCTGCAAACACTGAGCACGTTCGCTACGTGTGACATTGTTGTGTCCTCTTCTGGTCATGCGGGACACTTTTGGGTCATATGAAGTTCACACAGGACATCACATACAAGTCGTATTTAATCGGAAATGTGAACAAACTTGAAAAAAATCGGATTTCACAAAAAAAATCCAAATTGAGCATTAAGTCCTGCAGTCGGAATGTAGCCAATCTGGCGGATTGTTCAGTCAGATAATACGCCGTTATCCTTATTTGTGACATAAAATGTCATGTCGGAGTCGGAATCCAAGGCTGTCGGTATGTTAAGGCTATTCTTAATGGGTTCCGTTCATTTTTCCTAAAAACCTTTCAGATAGCAAGGTTTTCAGATTGTCAAGGGTCAGATTATCGAGTCACAACTTAAACATAATAATTGTTTAGGCTTACAACAATCTGACTTGTTTCCTCTGCCAAGGAGGTCATGTTTTGATTATCATTTGCTGATTTGTTTGCTTTTTAGTCCGTCAGCAGAATTATGTAAAACTACCAGGTCAATTTTCATGAAACCTTGTGGTGAGGTAGCACCAGTTACAAGGAAAAATCCATACATTTTAGTGCAGAAGGTTTAGGTCACGAAATCACATGCAATAGAGGAATGGACTACTAACCTTGGCAGAGGCCTGTGTTCTCCAAGTGCACATCTAACTGTGTAATAATGATCAGTTTGAATATCAGTATCAGTGTAACTACCTATCTATCAAAAAGCAAAGAAGTTAATGACTTCCTGGTCACATGAATTGGACAAAATAAAACTTTTTAAATTTCCTCTTTCATGGCTTGCACATAAGATATAAAGTAAGAATAAAAAGCTGTTGTTTTTTTTCAGTGTTTAATTCATAAAGAGTTTTTTCATTCTTCACTTTTGGATTTTTAATTGAATTTGAAAAGAACTAATGATACACATACCATGTTGGCTGCATTGCATAGGTTTTGTATTATTTGCCTACAACATGAATCCCTCTGTTCTCATTTCTAGCATTCTTGAGGACGACACCTCAGAGCTCCTCATACCAGAGGATGAGGAAGTTGTTTTCATCCCTTCTGCTAAGGCTGCCAAGCCCAGTGCTGTGATAGCCCTCAGGGCTAGCATGGACCATACGCAAACGCAGTGGATCCTGGCTAAACAATCCTTGGCCTGCCGAGTTACAGAGACCACCAGATCTCGCTATGAAGGGAAGAAAACGCCTCAGGCTACGGGGATGACAACAGAGCTACTCCCGGTTTTCTGGCTTGTGAGTGGTATAATTTAAATACTGTGGGGCTTCCTCAGAGTGCTAGAGCATCCTACAGTACGTCTCTTTATGACTGTAAATGGGGGAGTTGTGTTGGAAGGACACATTTCCTTTCTGTCCTGTTGGTGTGATGTAGTCATTCCTGCAGGACATGATTGACAAAGAAAAAGCTTTCTCCACAACTAATGTCTACCAGGCTGCTATTGCAGCATGCCAATGTTGGGTTTGGGCAAAACAGCTAGCCAACATCCTTTGGTCTGCTGTTTCGTGAGAGGGAATCGTAGGCTTCTTAGTGTGTGCTGTTTCCAGGTCACTGTATTCCCCATGGGACCTGGCAGTGGTCTTGAATGGGCTCTCTAGGGCCCCATTTGAACCACAGGGGGAGGTCAGCTAAAAACACCTGTGTCTGAAGACAGCGTTTCTGCTGGCTTTAGTGTCTGCCAAGCACGTCAATGACATTCATGCACTGTCAGTGCATCCTTTGTGCACGCAGTTTGCTTCAGAGCATGTCACTGAAGCCCCACCCTGCCGTAGTGCCCAGAGTAACTAGCTCATGCTCAACCATTTTTTATTTATTTATTTTTTTTATGGCATTCTCTTCAGCGCCCTTTTTTCTTCAGATCAAGCATGTGTTCTTTCCAGTCTGTGTCTTGCTGATGTACTAGGACAAGACAAAAGGTTTCGTAAAAGTGCTAAACTTTTTGTATCCTAGGCGATTCCTCATAGGGGCAAGCCTATGATAAAGAAACAGCTCTCTAACTTGTAGGGGCAATTGCCCTTGCCTATACATGACTTATAGGGGACTCGTGCTATACGGTTGCACCCTGGGTCCTGTATAAAGGGGTTCTCAAAGCTGGACGTCTCTGCTCAAAGCGTGGCCCCCACTGTGTTGAGCGTTGGGCCCCACTTGGTGCAGGGGGCCACCATTAGGACGGCTTGTGGCTGTTTGAAATCTGCGTGTCTGGACATATAGGGGTCCCCATATACCATAGTGAAACATCGAAACAGATAAGAAGGATAGGTTACTTGCGTAATCCTCGTTCTCAGAAAAGCATGCGTGAGATGTCTCAGCAGACAGCTCTTTTTGCTGGGGCGAAGCGAGAAGAGATGTTTATTTTGAATTTGATGTTGTGTCATAGCGCAGGCTTCTTAAGAGTAGGTGGCTCTACCTGATGAAGTGTCACCAGCCAATCAGGATTGGCATAATAAGATGCTGGATCCAAACTTTGGTACTGGATCCAACATTTATCACAGAGCTTACCCTGCGATTTCCTCATGTCCTTTGAAGCTAAAGCACGGGTTCCATGCTGAAAAGGTATCAAATCCGTTGTCACGTCATTAGGCCTCAACTCTTTCCCCAGCGACTTCCAACCAAACGAAGTATCACAGACACCTTGACCAGCTTCATATCCACCTAGAGACACAAGCATTGATGGATAAAACCTTTGTTTTATATTTATTACAAAGCGCAGGAGAGACATATACACACACAGATATATATATAAATAGACACAGACATACATACACAGTGTTTCCTCTACATTCATTTGGGGTGGTGGGGGGTTAATACAACGTTCATTACTCGTGAGAGTGCGCCTTGTAAATACCCAGGTTCCTGGTCAGAGAGTCAGAGGAGGGTTGTCTTGGAAAATAAGGCAGCTACTTACTGGAGAAAAGGGAGACTTATTAGCTTAAGATAACTCAGAAAAGATTTTACAAGACATTCGCAAAATATTAATGGCCAGCTAACGCTACATAACATACCGGTAGCCTCAGTTAATTGGGCCCGGTGCCAACTCAGTGTCGCTAACGTGAGTAAACTAACTGATAGAACTAAGCTATGATGTAACAGCTGACCTCATTTTCAGATGAGCTTGTTCAAATATTTCTCTAAGAAGAGAAAGACACCTGATGAAGATGACGCTAGTCCGGTACCACTAGCCTTTTACTGACTTAGAAATGATGATGGTTAGGTACTCATCAGAGCATCAGCAGCTACCTCTAAAAGAATTTCCGTACAACAGAGCCTTAGAGCTCTTTTATTAAAAAAAAACAAAAAAACTTTGCCACTGATTCTACAGCCCCATCAAGAAATTATTATTTATTGTTTCTATTTTTCTTTATTTAATTTTCTTGTTTTATTTATTTAATTTTATTTTTTACATTCACCCGTTAAAATGACACTTTTAACTGGCCATTCAATAAATAGGTTGTAAAAGTAAAATCTGCAGTCAAGCGTCATTTGTTTAGACCGCCATAGCTCCCCGGAGAGCCTGCCCCGTTGCTAAAAAAAAAATCCTAGAGGAAACACTGCATACGGATACACACATACATATAGTGGTACACTAATTAATAAGACCACCTGTCATAAAAAATGAAAAAATATTAATATTTTAGAACTCGTTCAAAAAATTGTTTAAAACTAAAAATGTTCTTTTTATTTATTTGGCAAATAAACTGAAAGAAGAGCCAATACCCGACTATTCAGCTTAGAAATTCTGTGATTTCTGGAATCGTGGAAAGCCTCACCTTCTTCCTGATGTGCATTTGCAGCAGTGTAGACATCACTGGGCACCACTGGCTGTTCAGGGCAGCTGGAGGGCAACACGTCATACGGTCCTGAACCAAGCTCTCCCGACTTCCCTTCGTCCTGGCTGGATGATATACTGTCAACTCTGAATATATGGATAACATATACATGACAGAGAAAGACAAAATATAAAAACAGATTTACTGCATGGTCTAACACTGATTTGGATATCATCAGTTTCAGTATTTTACTTAACAACTGAATAAGATGGGAGTCACTGGGGTGGGAAAAATTTGACAATTCCAGAATTCACTGCTCTATTGAGTTTCTTTATAGTTAGGTCAGAACACATTCTCGATTCAAAAACAATTCAACAGTTACTTTACTGATTGACTATATCATATTATGCCACAGTGTGAATTAAACTAAAAATAAACATATGCTGTAAGTTGTCATGAACATTGTCCTGCACATCTGACAGAAATCACACACACACACACACACACACAAACGTACAAACGTTAAGAGCAGGACTGACAAATGTTGAAATAAATATATCACTCAGTCACAACACTTTTGCAGCAAAACTTGTTATACTTCACAGTGTGTGTTAAATTAAAGAAAAGATACCGATGCGTTTTTGTCAGATTATTACACAATGTGAATGAACTTATATGTAAATATACTGTACGTTGTCATGAACATTTTCCTGCTCATCTGACAGAAATCTTAGAAATCTTACAGCAGTAGGCTGTACCCAAACAATGGATAGCTTATGCAGCTGTGTAACAAATTATATTTAATTAACACTTTAAAACAATGGGTCACAGGCAAGGATGTCTCGTTTTGTTAAACGAGACACCTCCACTTGCATCTCTAGTGGGAGGGACTAAGATGTAGGGCTGGCAATAAAACTGAAAAGTCTTTCTAAATTATTAATCATTTTTAATTACCAACTTTGAATACAGATCAGGAGAAAAAGGGTTTCATTTGAGACTTTAATTTAATTTAACCCATTTGTGAAGGTATACATTTTTATAATTTTAATATTAACAGCTAAAACGAAATTGACACATAAATAAAAAATAAATAAGGGAAAAGGAATTATCTTGATAAACATTAAATAAATAAAGCAAGTATAACCCAGAGATACACAGATGAGGATGACAGAGCAAAGCCGCCAGCTTCCAACTTGTTCATGCAACTGAACTTTGTCTTTTTCTTATGTCCTTTCACTTTCACTGGCCATATCTATTTACTGTATGTGAATGAATCCACAGGGCGTTCTATAAAACCATTTTCTTATTATAAGGAAAGAAACTGAGTTAAGAATTTGGTGTGGAATACAAATTATCGTAGGTGCCTTGATTTAGGGGTCACAGTTTATCATGTTTTCAGTACAGCCCAGAAAGAAAGAAAAAAAGTTAAATATGCACAAAATAACAAGTTTTCTTTTTTGTTTTTTAACAGGGATTCAATGGCCATATTTCTTACTGTAATAATTAAGGCACACAAATGCTGGCATACTACTAATAAGTAATAAACAAATAAGAATGGTTGTACTTCTCCATTATTAAGTATAAAATACATGAAGTCCATTAAGACAAGTGCAGCATGTTCATGATTCGCTTCAACAACCCCTGAAAACAGGACTGCATGTTTAACATTAGAACAGCACAAGGCATTTCTGCCTTTCTCTTGTGTCAACACTGAAGGATGGAGAGGCTTAAATGTCATTTAAATGACTATTTTAAAAAAAAGTAACTGAGAAGGAGAGAAGAGAGAGATGAACCAGTAGAAAGAGGAAAAGAGAAATAAAAAACATGTTTGATGAAACTGAAAATTCTTTTTTTTCTCTTAGTGATACAATGCAGTGTAGTTTTTATGTTCATCTGGGATACATATAGAGACCGCAGACTACAATCAATGTTAACAATGAGAAGCAAGGTAACAGATGAATCTTTCTGTACAAATCCCATGTCTAGTTTGACTTTGCATGCCCTTTAGTGTCAGTTAAATGTTAATAGTACTGAAAGTGGCCAGTAAAAAACAGAAACTGTTGACAAGAGTGCCAACCTGATGCCTGATTTTACAAGTGTCTTTTTAAAATCAAATTATAACTAACTGCCAGTCTTGTCATTGTATTTAATTAATCACCTTTATGGTTTAAGTCTTTGTTTAACACTATTTACAAATTGTCTGTACTGAGCTGTTACTCAGGGCTGCTTGTACTCTCCTGGAAGCTCAGAAGCAAAATGATGCTATGGGGTCTATGACCCTGTGTTCCCAACTTAGTTTGGGATCATTAGTGACACTTGAATACTCGGAAACTCATGTGTCTCACTCATGTCAAATCAAATATGGAAGGTGCTCGTGTGGAGACAGGGCCTCACGATTGGGTAGATGCACAGGCCACCGCAAGGATCTTAACCACTCAATTTGGATTGTACTTTAGTGGCCTCTGGTACCGAAAACAAGTTTCGATTCATCCAGTTTCCAAACTGACTGCCACACAATGAACCCGCATCCTTTAGGCAGTAGCTTTACGACAAAGAAATACTATACGCTGTTAGAAATGCAATGGAATCTAATGCACCACTCATTGTTGACTTTCGCAGTTACTTAAGATCAGCTTTAGAAATTACAAGACCAACGCCGTTAAACATTTCGTTAGACGTTGCAGAAATCTGTCCTTAAGTTGCTTGTGAAGTTGAGAACATTGTCGTGGGGTGGCGTCTTCCTCTTGTTAGCTAGCTATCGTTAGCCAGCGCGAACAGAACTGTAGGACTGCTAACCAGCGAAACTAACACCGTAGCCCACAAATGACTGCCACCACTTATCAATTTGTATCACCTCGTGAATAAATCTCCCACTTAAGTCATCGCTGGGGAACATGGACCAGCATTGCTTTTACTGATGTGTCTGAGATCCCTTGCTGTCAATTAGTCATTAGCATTACCTGAGTTAGCTGCATGCAGGCAACATTAGCAATGCTCTGTGAATAACGTTAGCGCCGGGTTCAGCCATCCACGAGACGAGCTCATGAAGAGCCGACCCTGTATAAAAAGCTTTAGTGTATGTTTCGTGGCAAATTATGTCAAGATTACGGTACGGAAGACAATTCAGTTAAACCATGTAATGCTGCGGTGAAGAAACACAGAGGCAATTACCTCCCATGTGACCGCAACTTAACACAGAAACACAACGTAGGCCCCAAAATTCGCCGTTTTATTTGAACCATCCAACACCAAAGCGCTCACAGACACCAACCTGGGCTGCCAGTCGTTCCAGTTTGGCCGCAGTTTGTGGGCGCCGCTGAGCCGAGACCCTGAGGCTTTACGGCTCATTACCTTTTAGAGCGCTGCATGATCTGCTGGCAGCGGGAACCTTATCTCTCCTCAGGGTTACTTTTCACTATGTTATTTTATCAAGTCTCACAAAACGGTTAGCAACTCGTTGTTACAGCTAGCTTCCGATAGTCGTTCTTCTTCTTGATATTTCTTAGCGGTTGACAAACCACGAAATGGTGCACTTCCGCCACCTGGTGGGCATGGATCGGAATTCCAGTGTTAAAGAACACATCTCAATCAAATTTGCTCTCCGAGGTTAATAAAATGGGAACAGATAACGTTCATTTTCTGAACATATTTGCAAATTATGTGCTACATAAAACTCGTTGCCACTGCGTGTTCTTGTCAACTCATCCTGAATTGTGTTTTACTATTTTGAGTGTACTGTTTAGCTTTGGGATGCTATAATTGCATCCTCCCACCTCTTTCCTCCTGTCCTTCCCATTTCTTTGATGAGGCCTGCTTTACAACCATCTGGCCATCTCTTCCTCCCATTGATTTTGCACCCTTTCCTCCATCTCTGCTTAATTTTAGCTACTCATGAATTCTGTCCCACTAAAGCTAACTGTAATATCAAATCAATAAGGTAGACAAAAAGTTTCCATAAAATGGTCCCTCAACAGCTGTCAATATCAAATAAAAACAATAGATTAAATGTTAACAGTAATTAATCACTGTATCACTGTGTCTCTATATTTATTGTTTACTCTACATTTATTGTTGTATTGTTGCACCAACCCACCAGAACAAATTCCTCGTATTGTGTAAACTATACCTGGCAATAAATCTGTTTCTGATTATGATTCTGATGAAAGTAATACTTTACAGCTTTAAATATGTTGTGTGATATGAAATTCCATAAAGATGTGGGTTTTTCCAAGTACTTTTTTAAACCATTTTATCTTAAACGTGTCATTTAAATGGGCAAAATTGATCAATTCCAATCCTCCTTCTGTTCTTCTACCCTGACACTGTGCAAATCTCGGTGCTATTAATTACGTCACTGCTGTCGCTCAATTAAGACGTATCGGATCAACACCGGCTATTGTAATGAGCCGACCGGCATTTCTGTGATAAATTCATATTGTACTAAGCGTATTTTCCAAAAGTAATAAATGAAAATATATTTTTAAAAACCCTTTGTGTTGAAATACATCACTCTGCTTCCATTAAATATAATACGAATTATTATTTTTAATTTTCACATTTTTGGACCATAACTAACGATTCATCATTTCAACGAGCTAAACAGGAGACATTCCTTTGAAAAGACGACTTATAACTAGTCACAATTTTTTCCACTATAAAATAGCTATTAGAAATCTGTGGAAATGCCACCAATCCTCAATTTTTCAGTTTTTCTTATGGCGATCATACAAATTCTTCTAACAATAATAATAGGAAACCAAATCAATCGTCAGAGAAGACTGAGACGAATTGCTTTTGCTGAACTGACAAGACAACATCAACTTATAAGTGAACACATGAACATGATTGTAGCCTTTTCATGTTATTTACAATAGATACATACATTGATTATCTCTGAATTGTCAGTGTGACATTTAACTATGGTTCAGACCATAGACTGTTTATATCTTATGGTTCAGACTACAGCCCCTCCTGAGAAAAGTTAGGCCTGATACCACTTTGCTTTCACAACTTGTTCAGTAAACTATTATACCAGATTGTATGGTCACATCGAATGGTGTCATGAACTGATGTAAAAAATGAAAACTCTAGATTTGAATATTTCTATTTTCAGCATGCAAAATCATCTCAGTATTGTGAACTAAACAGTCATGTTCCACTCATTGCCTTATTCCTGGATGGCCAGAGTGACCTGCGGCCTGACTTCCGCCTCTCCAGACCCACAATAAGCTACCTAGCCCACATCCTCCTATCTCCATGTGATCACGGCTGTGGTCAGGAGTTAGAGGCTCTGGTATTTCTTTTTTGGCTTGCAAGTGCATGTTGTGTCCAGAGCATTTGCAATGTGTCTTTTCCTTCCAGCCATGATGTAGATCATTGGGAACATCTAAGTCTGATGTGATCTAAGATCTACAGAGAACATGAACATTCAGCTGAGGTTGTCTGAGGTGAAGAGTCTTCTCTCCTTCTTCATTCCTGTGAGGAAGAGCAGCACTGATGTCCTCCTCATCTATTCTAGTAACAACAATAATGTTGAGCTGAGTTTCAGCTCCCTCTTTTCATAAAACACACTTTTCTTATGACTGTTAAGTATGTACACTTCACTGTAAGCTGGGCAACACATTTATTTCATCCATCTATT